GGTGATACATTGGGACCTGAATATTGAAGGATGCTTGACATTTTAGGAATGACAGGAATTTCAGAAAGAGGTGGAGGAGTGTCTCTGTTAATTAATGATGGTGATAGAGAGGGATGATCTAACTTCAGGACTCCAGGATGTAGAAACTGCTTGGGCAGAGATGAGAAAAGATAAAGACAAGAAGTCACTTATTCTAGTAGTGTACAGGTCCCCTAAAGGTAACCACGTGGTAGGGGAAGAATAAAGAAAGAAGTAGAGGCAGCTTGTCAGAAAAATATAGTTAGAATCATGAGAGGTTTTAAGCAAACATATAGACTGGAAAAATCAGAGGGCCAAGCGAGCTAAATGAAATGTTTGAGATTCTCTCACTAATGGAAATATCTTCCCAACAGTTACTCTGTCAAGTTCACTCAGAACCTTGCATTGTTTTTGTAAGTTCAAAAAGGGAGAAGGAAACCAGGAAATGTAGCATCATGCCTGTCCATTAGCTTAACATCTATCTGTTAGCTTAACACCTGCCCATTACCTCAACGCCTGTCCATTAGCCTAACATTTGTCCATTAGCTTAATGCCTGTCCATTAGCTCAACGCCTCTCAATAACATTAATATCTGCCAGTCAGCTCAACATCTATTAACATCTGTCTAGGGAGATGTTTATTATTAAAGACTTCATGGCAGAGTACTTAAAAGAATGACGATAATCAGAGACACCATTGTTTTATGAAAGGAAAATCAAGCAGTGGATGCTCAGTATTTATACTTCCAGAAACCATTTGAGAAGCTGCCACATCAATTTTATTTTGTGGGAAAAAAGAAGCTTGCGGTCCGAAGGTAACTATTTGGCATGGACAGAAAGTTAGTGAGCTAACAGGATGCAGAGTTTGAGAAATGAATCATTTTCTGATTGGTAAGCTGGAATGAGCATTGTGGCACAGGGATCAGTGCTGGGACCTCAGCTTTTTATAATTTATATAAATAACTTGAATGTAGGGACCAAATGTATATAGCTAAATTTTCTGATGACACAAACATGAGTAGGAAAGTGAGTTATGCAAAGGACTTAAGGAGCACACAATGGCTTACAGATAGTCGGTGGGTGGGCAAAGATCTGGCAAGTGGAGTATTATGTGAGAGAACATGATATTGTCGATTTTGGTGGGAAGAATATTAAAAGAAGCATATTGTCTAAGTGGAGAGGTGTAGAGCTCTGAGATGCAGAAGGACCTGGGTGACCTGGTGCATGAATCATAGAATGTCAGTATGCAAGTACAGCAAGTAATCAGGAAATCTAGTGGAATGTTATGGACTGTTGGGAGGGGAACTGAATTGGAAGCAGCTCAGAGTGAGTTTATCAAACAAATTCCTGGACTAAATGGGCTGTCCGATGAGGAAAGGCTAGATAGGTTAAGCTTCTATCCATTGGAATTTAGAAGAGTAAGAGGCAACTTAACTGAAATATAATAAAATCCCCAGGGGTCTTGACAGAGTAGATATAGGGAGGCTGTTTCAATGTCTCTCTTTAGGGAGAATCTAGTACACTTAGTTAGGACAGAAAATAATTTTATACCCACATAGACTCATGACTCAGTTCTGAATATTTTTAAGGCACAGCTTGATAGATTTTTGATCAGCCAAGAGGGTGAGAGGTTATCAGGGATAGTTAGGAGTACAGAGTAATCAGACTAGCCATTATCTTACTGAACAACAGCACAGATTTGAGGGACTGAATGGCCTACCCATGCTCCTAATTTAAATGTCCATAACAGAAAGCAGGATACTAAAGGCCAGTTAGTTCAACCTCTGTCATTGGGAACACATGAGACTCCATTACTAAGGAAACATTGAGAACATCAGAACCATCAATATGGTTTTGTGAAAGGCAGAAGTGATGTTTGATAAACTTATTCTAACAGTTCTTTGAGGATGTTGCAACCAGGGCGAATAAAGGGAAACCAGCAGATACAGTGTATTTTGTTTCCAAAAGCTAAAAAGCAAAAGGAATTACTGTGCTACAGTAACTTACCACGGCTCCTCAGACAGCACCTTCTAAACCCACAACCACTTCCATCCAGAAGGATAAGGGCAGCAGATACATGGGAACACCACCATCTGTGAGTTCCCCTCCAACCCACTTCACCATCCTGACTTGGAAATATATCACCGTTCCTTCACTGTCAAAATCCTGGAGCTCCCTTTCTGAAAGTGTTGTGAGTCTACCTACACCTCAAGAACAGCAGCAATTAAAAAAGGCACCTCATTACCACCTTCTCCAGTGCAGTTAGAGATGGGCACAAAATGCTGACCCACAACCCATCAACAAATATAACTAAGGTGCCATATCAAAAACAAATTATCGCAGAAGGCTTGATGGTATGGGTGCAACTATTTTAGCATGGAGAGAGCATAGACAGCCAACTGTATGTAGTGGAGTGTCTCAGAGATCAGGACTGGAGGTGACATTATTTATGAGCTATATTATAAGAGGAGACTAAGTGTATTATAGACTCATTTACTGACCACTTTGAAGAAGGACAGGTAGGAAAGCAAGCACGAGGAGGATGCAATGAGTCTGCAAAGGGGTGCAGATGGGATAATGATTTGGATGTGATTATAGGAGGAATGGTTAATAAGTTTGTAGATGGCACCAAAATTGGTGGCTTGATGGACAGTGAAGAAGGTTATCTCAGAGTACAACGGGACCTTGATCAGATGGGCCAAGAAGCGGCAGATGCAGTTCGAATTAGATAAATGTGAGGTTTTGCATTTTGTAAAGCAAATCAGGGCAGGACTTATACACAGTAATGGTAGAGTCCTGGGGAGTGTTCCCAAACAAAGAGACCTTGGAGTGCAGGTTCATTGTTCTTTGATGGTGGAGTTACAGATAGGCAAGACAGTGAAGAAGGCATTTGGTATGCTTGTCGTTATAGGTCAATGCATTGAGTATAGGAGGTGGGATGTTATGTTGTGGCTGTACAGGACATTGGGTAGCCACTTTTGGAATACTGCATGCAATTCTGGCCTCCCTGCTAAAAGAAAGATGCTGTTAAAATTGAAAGGATGCAGAAAAGATTTACAAGGATGTTGCCAAGGTTGGAGCGTTTGAGCTATAGACAGATGCTGAATAGACTGGAGCTCCTTTTCCTGAAGGGTCAGAGGCTGAGGGGTGACCTTATGGAGGTTTATAAAATCAAGAGGGACATGGGTAGGGTGAATAGCTGAGGTATTTTCCCCAGGGTGGGGTGTCTAAAACCAGAGGGCACAGATTTAAGGAGAGAGGGGGGAGGTATAAAAGGGACCTAAGGAGCAACTTTTTCATGCAGAGGGTGGTGCATGTATGGAATGAGCTGCCAGAGGAAGTGCTGGAGGCTGGTACAATTACAACATTTAAAAGGCTAGCAGATGGGTATATGAATAGGAAGGGTTGAGAGGGATATGGGCCAAATGCTGGCAAATGGGATGATTAGTTTAGGATATGTGTTCGGCATGGACAAGTTAGATCAACGGGTTTGTTTCCATGCATACATCTGTATGACTCTATGACTCTGAGAGGACAAGAAATTGGCAATTGGAATATAATGTGGGATTGACCGTCTTGTTGGGGAACATAGAAAAATAGAACACTATTTAAATGGGAAGAGACTGCAGAATTCCATTTGTCCTTATGTGCATGAATCACAAGAAATTAGAAAGGCAGTTATAGCAAGTGATTAGGAAGACAAACATTCTAAGTGGGACAGGGTATAAAAGGTTGAAAAGTCTTGCTACAACGATACAGGGATGTTGGTGACATTGCTCTGGAGAACTGCATACAAACATGTATCCCTCACTGAGGAATGGATATAATTCTATTCCAAAAAAGGTCACTGGGCCGATTTCTGAGGTGAAGGAGTTGCCTTATGAAGCAAAGATCATTGCAGTTTAGAAGAACGAGAGGTGATTGTGTTGAAACATATTATTCTGAAGGGGATCCTTGGCAGATGCATGCTGGGATGTTCCCTCCTGTGCACAGTCCAGCATTAGTGTGCACAGTTTAAAAATGAGGGCTCTTCCCAATTTTTTATTCATTCACAGGATGAGGGCATCACTGGCAAGGCAGCATTTATTGCCCATCCCTAATTGCCCAGAGTGCAGTTAAAAGTCAACCACATTTCTGTGGTTCTGGAGTCACATGCAGGCCAGACCTGGTAAGGATGGCAGTTTCTTTTCCTTAAGGACATTAGTGAACCAGATGGGTTTTTCCGACAATTGACAATGGATTCATGGTCATCATTAGATCCTCAATTCCAGGTTTTTTTTAATTGAATTCAAATTCCACCATCTGCTGCAGCGGGATTCAAACCCAGGTTCTCAGAACGTTATCTGGGTCTGTGGATTAAGAGTCAGCGATAATACCACTAGGCCAATTAAGACAGAGATGAGGTGGAATTTCCTCTTTCTGAGAATCATTAGTATTTGGAACGCTCCAGTGAAGGCTGGGTCACTGCATATATTCAAAGTGGAGTTAGACAGTTTTAAAGGGGGCAGGGAACGGGTAAGGGAGGAGATAGGACAGAAGAGTTGACACCACAATCAGATTAAGTCTCATCCGAGAAAGCAGGCTCAAGGGGCTGAATGACCTGCTCTTATTATGTTCTGATCCTGTCAAAGGAGAGATTGAAATAATCAAAACTGTAATGAGGAAGACTGAGAGTTTATACATGGACCAATATCTGTGCAGGATGTGACAGGATTGCTGGAAATGAGGTGGGAATACCTTTGTCCCATTGGTTGTTTAAAATGGAATTTGCCTTTCTATTCATTTGCAGTTCATTAATATTTAAATGGTGTTGTTTTTAGTTGGTTTGTCATAATAAAAACATCAAAATGTCAGACTGTGTCCATCACCTTTCTTTTGGATGGTGTTGTGGACAAGATTCTCTCTTTAAAACATTTCCACTTTCCACAGGGATGGTAACTATATCTGCTGCGGCTTCATTCGGGGAACAGTCCACACCAGAGGTCGCAAAACTCTTTTATTAGTTATTCTTGAGGTAATGAATCCAATATTGTCACGCTGCTGCTGCACATGCACAGGGACAGGATACAACAAAATCTTCAGAATACAACAAATCTGGAAAGGCTAAAGTCCGACCGAGAAACAGGAAAAGGTAATGTGGAATATGAAATACATTTTGGGAGGACAGTCAGTCATTCCTAGTCTCTTGCCTTGCAGCCATCCACCGAGCAGCTCAATCCCATCGCATAGAATAGCTTGGCCCAGCAAACTCCTCATATCTTTCTGGGCTTTCGGCCAACTTGGTAATAGAAATAGACACTGATGAGGATGAAGAGACCTCGGCTCAATTGCAGTAGAGTCGCTCCCTGGGGTAGTGTTCCCTTTTCAAACAGCGGGACGGTTGTAACTGGAAGAGGATGAAAGATTTCATTGTCAAGAAGAAAAAAGTACAATTCACTGGACTGGGAAATATACGTATTAATCGTTAATTTTCAAGATCAAAGGAGAGCCTAACAAATGTTTGTAGACCCAGTATTAAAAATGAGGGAATGTATACTGACAATGGTTCAGTGTCAAATGCACAGGGAATGTATCACCGACAATGGTTCAGTGTTAAACACAACCGAATATGCGATGTGTTAAGATGTGCCAGAAGTTGTCTAATAGTAAATAAAATAACAGGGTTTTCACCAACTTGTGACGATGACTCTCTGAATATGATGAACACTGACTCCGATAGCAGTATGATTGGAAGGGTAAGACAGTGAGGGGACTCACCCGGTGCTAGATTTTCAAATGCTGCTGGGGCTGGAAACAGGTTTGGAGCCACGTTCCCATCGGGTGTTACCGAAATTTAGAATGGAATATGATTTTCTAATGGCGGCTGTGAGGCGGGTTGAGAATGCTGCAAAACTCTTCAGTGCTGATCACCGAGGGTAATAATGGGCCAATACACATGGCTCAGTGAGAGTTTGAAGTTGGCAGTGATCAGGGACAGAGATTCCCCCAGTCTGAGACACATCAGAGTGCAGCTGGTGGGCACAGGATTGGGGAAGCCATGACATGCTGGTCAGCTGATTTACAAGGGGCAACATTTTCACAAACAGTGGCTCAGAGTGGGCATCACTGGCACTAAGAGGTTGGTATTCCTAACGAGAGATAGAGAGAGGTTTGAGCCAAGGGAAAGGCACCAGTCTTCGGGCATCACTGGAGCAGAAGAAATTGGCAGAGGAAGCCTGCCAGTCAAAGGAGTGCCAACTCAGAAAGAGGAGGAAGTGATTCTGACATTGGACAGGTTATTGAGGCAGGACCCTGACCACGATGAGGACTGACAGCGAGAGCGAGAAAGGCTGCCAGACTGGGAAGGCATTCCCATTACATTGCCTGCACCGCCCAGGAACTGGTTCCCATCAAATGACAAAGCGTCCGTGCTGTACTCTGTGTAGTTTTTCTGAGTAGGCCTCAAACATTTCATGTCCTGGCTCCAAACGACCTTCGCCAATGCCTTAATGCAGGCAACTGAAAGCTGTGGCACTGCCTGTGACAGCCTCAGCTTGTGTCACACCACCTTCCAATGACAGTGGGCACAGAGCCTAGTCACAGCTGCCACTCACCTTTACGAAAGGTTCTCCAGGTCAACGTCCTGCACTCAGCTACCCTTCCTGCCTCCAAGACCATTGATTGGGTGCTGTACCTATTCCTGGGCCAATTGTATTGAGAATAACATCAGAGACTTTCACTGGCTGCCATTCCCAATCCATATGGAACATCCAGCTCTGTGGGATGAGTGCTAGGTTGAGCTGGGGGGGTGATGGAGGGAGGTAATGGTGACAAAGGGTGTCATATGCTCATGCAATGCCAATCCATGCCAATGTGGGGTTGGGTAAATTGTTGACACTATGCTGTTTCTCTGACTGGGTCTACAGGGTGGGAAAGGAAATCTGGCTCTGATGAAGACAAGCTTTTGTCTTAGCCAAGATGTAGCTTATTGTGTGATTGCAATCAGGTACAGGGGTCTCCAATTTACAAACATCTCATTTACAAATGCTCATACCTATGAACACAGTCATACAGGGCTGCAATTTTAAGGACCTGACATAATTTCCTGTACTTACAAATGACCCTTTTCTATCATCCTGCACTGCGTTCTGACTAGTGTACAAATCGCCTTGTGAACAGACTCCAGAATGGAACCTGTCCAAGTTACACTGCTACATTAGACATTGGGACTCAGGTAATAGGAGACCTAGGGTATCAGATCTGTCTTCATCGAAATCCTCCTAATCCCACCCCAACTCCTCACAGCATCAGCAGGCTTGATGGAGCTTAACACAGGTTTCATCATTAACCCTTCCTGAACCGTGATCTTATACAACAGAGGGGGATGAAAGGTACGAAGGGTGGGGGGTGGTCAGGGGGTGAAGACAGTGGAGTTGTGGTCTGACAGGGCGAATGTATAAACAAGGAACAAGAGCAGGCCACTCGGCCCTACAAGCCTGCTGTGCCATTCAATAAGATCAAGGCTGATCTGATTTTAACTTCAACCCTACATTCCTGCAAATACCCAATTATCTGTCATCCCATTGGTCATCCAGAATCTACCTATTTCTATTTTTAAAATATCGAAGGATTCTGCATTCACTATCTTTTGAGAAAGACTCAGAGAGATGAAAATTTTCTCTTCTCTGTTTGAAATGGGCATCCCTTATTTGTAAACTCGGAGCCCAATGTTTGCTGTGCTAATCAATTGATATTGTACTTTATGTTGTTGAAGAAGTGTTCTATACAAGAAAGAGAGTTCAACAAATTCTATTTCCACTTAGAAATGTGTCTGATCAAACTGAAAGAATGATGCTGTTCACACAGTGAATTTGATTCGTAGTGTGGAGGCTGGTAACGTTACCACACGTAGACATCAGTAAAGAAGGGTCTGGTGCAAATCACTTTCTGATTCTCACTCAGCAGCTCACAGGCTGTCTGTCAACACTCCCTAGGAACTACTGCCATCTTGTGGCTACTCTTCAGCACTGCCCCAGCATTATACAGTCATAGAGTCATACAGCATGGAAACAGGCACTTCGGTCCAACTTGTCCATGCTGACCAGATGTCCTAAATTAATCTAGTCCCATTTGCCAGCATTTGGCTCATATCCCTCCATACCCTTCCATTCATGTATCCATCCCGGTGCCTTTTAAATGTTGTAATTTATCAGCCTCCACCACTTCCTCTGCCAACTCATTCCATACACGCACCAGCCTCTGTGTGAACATTTGTCCCTTAGGTCCCTTTTAAATCTTTCCCCTCTAGTTTTGCACGCCCCCACCACGGGAAAACAGACCTTGTCTATTCACCTTTTCCACGCTGACGATTTTCCACCAATCATAAACCTCTATAAGGTCACCCTCAGCCTCCAACGCTCCAGGTAAAATAGCCCCAGCCTAATCAGCCTCTCCCTATAGCTCAAACCCTCCAACCCTGGCAACATCCTTGTAAATTTTTTCTGAACCTCTTCAAGTTTCACAACATCTTTCCTACAGCAGGGAGACCAGAACTGCACGCAGTATTCCAATAGCGTTGGAGGCTACCATCTAGGTACCATCACCTTCTGTCTTCTAGCTTTGAGCCAGTTCAGTCTCCAAATAGCTAGGTCTCCCTGTATTCCATGTGATCTAACCTTGCTAACAAGTCCAGCATGAGGAACCTTGTCGAACGCCTTACTGAAGACCATATAGATCACATCCACCACTCTGCCCTCATCAATCCTCTTTGTTACTTCTTCAAAAAACTCAATCGATAGTGAGACATGATTTCCCAAACACAAAGACATGTTGATGATCCCTAAATCAGTCGCTGCGTTTCCAAATGCATATAGATCCTGTCCATCAGGATTTTCTCCAACAACTTGCTTACACTGATGTCAGGCTCACCGGTCTATAGTTCCCTGGCTTTTCCTTACCACCTTCCTTAAATAGCAGCACCATGTTAGCCAACTTCCAGTCTTCCGGCACCTCACCTGTGGCTATCGATGATACAAATATCTCAGCAAGGGGCACAGCAATCACTTCCCTAGCTTCCCACAGAGTTCTAGGGTATATCTGATCAGGTCCGGGGGATTCATCCAACTGTATGTGTTTTAAGACCTCCATCACCTCCTCCCCTGCAATATGGATACTTTTCAAGGTATTGCTATTTATTTCCCCATGGTCTCTATCTTCCATATCCTTCTCCACAGTAAACACTGATGCAAAATGCTTGTTTAGTATGTTCCCCATTTCCTTCAGTTCACACATAGGTGGCCTTGCTGATCTTTAAGGGGCCCTATTCTCTCCCTTGATATACTTTTGTCCTTAACGTATTTGTAGGATCCCTTTGGATCCTTAACCTTGTTTTCCAAAGCTATTCCATATCCCGTTTTTGCCCTCCTGATTCCCCTCTTAAGTATACTTCTGCTGCCTTTATACTCTTCTAGGGAATCACTCGATCTCTGCTATCTATACCTGACATATGCGTCCTTCTTATTCTTGACCAAAACCTCAATTTCTCTAGTCATCCAGCATTCCCTATATCCACCAGCCTTGCCCTTCACCCTAACAGGAACATACCGTCTTTGAACTCTCGTTATCTCATTTTTGAAGGCCTCCCATTTTCCAGCCGTCCCTTTACCTGCGAACACCCACCCCCAATCGACTTTTGAAAGTTCTTGCCTAATACCATTAAAATTGGCCTTCCTACAATTTGGAACTTTAACTTTTAGATTTGATCTATCCTTTTCCATCACTACTTTAAAACTAATAGAATTATGTTTGCTGGCCCCAAAGCGCCCCCCCACTGACACCTCAGTCATCTACCCTGCCTTATTTCCCAAGAGTAGGTCACGTTTTGCATCTTCTCTAGTCGGTACATCCACATACTGAATCAGAAAATTTTCCAGTACACACTTAACAAATGCCTCTCCATCCAAGCCGTTAACACTATGGCAGTCCCAGTCTATGTTTGGAAAGTTAAAATCCCCGACCATAACCACCCAATTATTCTTACAGATAACTGAGATCTCTTTACAAATTTGCTTCTCAATTTCCCGCTGACTGCTGGGGGGTTTATAGTACAATCCCAGCAAGGTGATCATCTCCTTTCTTACTTCTCAGATCTACCCAAATAACTTCCTAGATGTATTCTCAGGAACATCCTCCCTAAGTACAGCCGTAATGTTATCCCTAATCAAAAACATCACTACCCCTCCTTGCTTGCCCCTCTTTCTATCCTTCCTCTAGCATCTATACCGCTGACTTAATTCCACTCTGGACTTTACATTTCTCAGTTCTGAGGAAGGATCACTGGACCCGAAACTTTAACTCTAACTTCTCTCCATGGATGCTGCCAGACATGCTGAGCTTTTCCAGCAATTTCTGTTTTTGTTTCTGATTTCCAGCATCTATAGTTCTTTGTTTCCACTCAGTTTTTAACTCACTGACACATCTCTTCTAAGCATGCCCACCTTGAAGAAGTTCTACAATTGTACGTTGCAATTGTACCAGCCTCCACCATTTCCTCTGTTAGCTCATTCTATGCATGCACCAACCTCTGAGTGAAAAAAATTGCCCCTTTGGTCCCTTTTATACCTTTTCCCTCTCACCTTAAACCTATGCCCTCTCATTTTGGACTTCCCTACCCTGGGAAAAAAGACCTTGGCTATTCACTCTATCCATGCCCCTCATGATTTTATAAACCTCTATAAGGTCACCCCTCAGCTTCCCCTCCAGGGAAAACGGCCCCAGCCTATTCAGCCTCTCCCTATAGTTCAAACCCTCCAACCCCAGGAACATCCTTGTAAAACTTTTCTGTACCATTTCAAGTTTAACAACATCTTTCCCGTAGCAGGGAGACCAGAACTGAAGGCAGTATTCCAAAAGGATCCTAACCAATGCCTGGTACAGCTGCAACATGGCCTCCCAACTCCTATACTCAATGCACTGACCAATAAAGGCAAGTGTACCAAATACCGCCTTCACTATCGTCAGATACTGAAACAGTCCACGTTCAAATGCAACAAGATCTGGACAATATCCAGTCTTGGGCTGACAAGTGGCTAGTAACATTTGCACCACACAAATGCCAGGCTATGACCATCTCCAATAAGCGACGATGCAATCATCACTCCTTGACATCCTGAGATTTACCATTGATCAGAAACTGAACAGGACTAGCCGTGTAAAAACTGTGGCTACAAGAGCTGGTCAGAGGCTAGGAATACTACAGCAAATGACTCACCTCCTAACTCCCCAAATCCTGTCCACCATCTACCAGGCACAAGTCAACAATGTAATGGAATACTCCTCAAGATTCTGAGGAGGCTTGACAGGGTAAATGCAGGGAGGTTATTTTCCCCTTTTGGAACCATAGCGGATCATCTCAGAATAAGGGGTCACTGAGTTAGGACAGAATGAAGAGGAATTTTTTTTTCCAAGCGGGTATTCAATCTGTGGAATTCTTTGCCACAGACAGTTTTTGAGACAGGGTAGCTGAAGGCTGAGATAGACAGAGTTTTAATCAGTAAAGGGAATCAAGAATTAAGGGGTTAAGGCAGGAAAATGAGGAGTTGAGGATTATTGGATCAGCCATAATCTCATTGAATGGTGGAGCAGTTTTGATGGGCTGAATAGCCTACTTCTGCTGTTATATCGTATGGTCTTATGTCACTTGCCCGGATGAGTACAACCCCAACAACACTCAAGAAGTTTGACACCATCTAGGACAAAGCTGCCTGCTTGATTGGCACTATATCCACAAGCATCCATTCCCACAATCACCGACACTCAGTAGCAGCAGAGTGTACACTGCAGAAGATACACTGCAGAAATTCACCAAAGATCCTCAACAGCACCTTCCAAACCCATGACCACTTCCATCTAGAAGGACAAGAGCAGCAGATACATGGGAAAACCACCATCTGCAAGATCCCCCCCCAAGCCACTCACCATCCTGACTTGGAAATACATCACTGTTCCTTCAGTGTCCCTGGGTTAAAATCCTGGAATTCCATCCCTAATGACATTCTGGGTCTACCTACACTGATGCAGACTCAGCGGTTCAAGGAGGCAGCTCAGCACCACTGTCTCAAGGACAGCTGGGGACAGGCAATAAATGCTGGCCCAGCTAGCGATGCCCACATCCCAGGAAGGTGGAGGAGAGGATCAGAAGGGCAGTAGGACCATGAGGGGGAGAAAGAGATGGATAGCAGGAGAAAGAGGAGCAAGGGGTTGGGGGAGCTGCAACCTGAATGGCGGGGGGGTAACTGAAGGGCAGAGTATTCTGCGGCACTTGTCACTCCTTGCAGAGATGCACTTTCATGGAGAACCCACCTATAAACTGCACTGTGAAATAACAGGCCTCTGTGAGGAGCGTCCACCGAATGATCAGCTTCTCGACCGTGTATAAAGCATGCCACATGATCAGGGAAATACCTGCAGCAGAATGGAGAAGAACAGTGTCAAACTACTGGGCAGAGTTAGCGCCAGCCTCACATGGGAGTTGTGGGAGCTCCTACTACCCTCTGTCCAGGACAGGGTGATACCATGCCCACCTCCCTCACCCACCACACCCTCTGCCCTGCACAGCTGCCCACCAAAAGGGCAGCAGGGGTGAAGCTCTCTTCTCAGGAGTTACTATGATATATTTCATGCAGGGAACAACATAAGGAAAACAGGAGAGGGTGAGGGAGAGGCCAGGAGAATGAATGGATGGGGGAAGGAAGTGAGAGAAGGAGAGACTGGGAAAAGGAAAGACTGGGAGAAGGAGACACTGGGAGAAGGACAGGACGGGAGAAGCTTATAGAGGAGAGGGATATATAAGGACAGAAAGGCTTAAGGAAGGAACTCCGGGGGGGCAAGTGAAGGAACAGCCACTCGGAATGAGCTGAAGGGAATGCAGATACCAGCTGGGCATAGTTCCTAAGACTGGAATTGATGACCTGCTGAGAGGACAGGCCTGATATCCAGCTTTCAATCCTCTTATTCAAGTAATCAATAACTTGTCAAATCGCAGGCCGCGGGCAGGTGAGAAACTGGTCGCGAGAGACAGAACCGTAACATTACACCTGTACTGCAGCAGGACTGAGTCCACACTGGGAAAGGGACCCAGAACCATTGTTCTGGTAGCTTTCTGTGTGCCCTACAACTGACTCAACACTACCTTGATTTCGATCAGGGCTGTGAGAGACTCTCTGAAATGGCACTGACCGATGGGACAAAGGGAGAGGAGTGGAGCTGGTGTGTCAGAGCGTGGTTAGGAGAGAGAAGCCAACAGATTTCATAAACACCTTGTCTAAGCCATAAACTCTGAGAAAGACCCTCCAGGCCCGGCGTTAGGAGATCTGGTCTTTATCCGGGGAGGAGTGTGTACAATTTCTGGGAGTTGTGCTAAATGTGGGAGTTTAGGCAAATGTGGAAGAGTGGCATTGCTGTGTCTTGTTGTGGTCATTTTTGCAAGGGGCTACTTTGTGGTCAACGTGTTGCTGTTAGATCTAAGAGTGGGCCTAGGTGAACATCAAGTTTTGTTGAGAAGGCCGAGCAACAACAAGGTAAGAGCCTTTGCTCCCCCTCAGTCCATTAGCTGTTAATGAAACAGAGATGGCAGTCAGTGGAATGGTATGTTCCTCTTGTCAGATGTGGGAGATCAGTTGACTGTCCCTGGTGACTATGTCTGCAGGAAGTGTGTCCGACAACAGCTCCTCTCAGTTCGCACAGATAGGTTGGAGCGGCAGTTGGAAGCTCTTTGACAAGCATACAGGAAGCAGAGAGTGCGATAGATAGTAGCTTCAGGGAAGTGGTCACACCGCAGGTACAGTCAGGTAGATGGGTGACTGCCAGGAGACGTAGGCAGGGAGTGCAGGAGTCTCCTTTGGCTATCCCCTTCTCAAACAAGCATACTGTTTTGGATACTGTTTGGGGTGGGATAGCCTCTCAGGGGAAATATAGCAGCAGCAGTCAGGTCTTTAGCATCATGACTAGCTCTGCTGTAGAGTATGGCAAAGTCCAAGTGAGAAATTGTGATGGGGACTCTGTAGTCAGGGGCACAGACAGGTGTTTCTGTAGTTGCGAGCGAGACTTCAAGATAGTGTGTTGTCTCCCTGATGCCAGGGTCAAGGAAATCTCAGAGCGGTTGCAGCAAATTCTTAAAAGGGGAATATGAGCAGCTGGAGGTTGTTCTATGCCTTCGTACCAATGATATAGATAAACAAAAGAATGAGGTCCTGCAGAGTGAATACAGGGTAGGCTGGAGGTTAAAAAGCAAGACCTCAGGGATTACTCCTGGTGCCACGTGCTAGTGAGAGTAGGAATAGGAGGACAGGGCAGATGAATGCGTGGCTGAGAAACTGCTGCAGGGGACAGGGATTCAGATGTTTGGATCCTTGGGATCTCTTCTGGGGCAAAAATGACCTGTACAAGAGGGACAGGTTGCACCTGAACTGGAGGGAGACCAATATCCTGATGGGGAGATTTGTTAGAGCTACTTGGGTGGGTTTAAACTAGTCTAGCAGGGGGTTGGGACCCAAAGCAGTATTGAGACAAGAGAAAAGGTTGAGGCTGCTACAGAAGTTTAAGACAGCAAGTTAAATAGACAGGGCAGGCAAGAACACTGCAGAGAACAAGGGAAGACTGATGAATTAAAATGCATTTATTTCAATACAACAGACCTGACAGGTAAGGCATGTGAACTCTGGGCATGGTTGGGAACATGGGACTGGAATATTATAGCTATTACAGAAACATGGCTCAGGGAGGGGCAGGACTGGCAAATCAACATTCTGGGGTACAGATGCAATCAGAAGGATAGAAAGGGGGGCAAGGGAGAAGGGTGAGTTGCATTGTGATTAGGGATAACATTACTCCTATACTGAGGGAGGATGTTCCTGGGGATTGTCCAATGAAGTCACATGGGTGGAAGTGAGAAATAAAAGGGGCTGATCACTTTGGTGAGATTGTACAATATGCTGCCCAATAGTCAGTGGGAAATTGAGGTGCAAATACGTAGGGAAACTGCAGATAGCTGTAAGAATAATAGAGTTGTAATTGTAACTAACATAGACTGGGACTGCCATAGCGTTAAGTGCTTGGATGAGAATAATTGTGTTAAGTGTGTTCAAGAAAATTTTCTTAATCAATATGTAGATGCACCGACTCAACAAAGGGCAAAACTCAACCTCCTTGGGAAATAAGGTAGGGCAAGTGACTGAGGTGTCAGTGGGGAAGCACTTTGGGAACAGTGACCACAATTCTATTAGTTTCAAAATAGTTAGGGAAAAGGATAGGCCTGGTCCACAAGTTAAAGTTCTAAATTAGGGCAAGGCCAATTTTGACGGTATTAGATAGGAACTTTCAAAAGTTGTTTGGAGGAGACAATTCACAGGTAAAGGGATGTCTGGCAAGTGGGAGACTTTCCAAGGTGAGATATTGAGAGTTCAGGGACAGCATGTTCCTGCTTTTGTGAAGGGTAATGCTGGCAGAGGTGGGGAATGTGAGATGACTAGAGATATTGAGGCTCTGGCCAAGAAAAAGGAGAAGGCGTATGTCAGATATGGACATACTGGCTGGGATCGAATGAATCCGTTGAGGAATATGGGGGTGTGGGAGTACATTTAAGAGGGAAATCAGGAGGGCAAAAAGGGGACACGAGATAGCTTTGTCAGATAAGGTTAAGAATAATGCAAAGAGATTCTGCAAAGATTTAAATGGCAAAACAGTAATTAGGGAGAGAATAGGGCCCCTTAAAGATCAGCAACACCATCTACGTGTTGAGCCGCAGGAGATGGGTGAGCTCCTACAGGTCAGGTCGCCCTGCTATAGGAAGGATATTATTAAATTGAAAAGGGTTTACAATGATGCTACAAGGGTTTGAGTTATTAGGAGAGGCTAGATAGGCTGGGACTTTTTTTTCCCTGGAGTGTCAGAGGCTGAGGGGTGACCTTATAGAGCTTTATAAAATCATGAGGGGCATAGCCAGGGTCTTTTCCCCAGGGTAGGGGAATCCAAAGCTAGAGGGCATAGGTTTAAGATGAGAGGGGAAAGATTGAAAAGGGACTTAAGGATCAACTTTTTCACACAGATGGTGGTGCGTTTGGGGAATGAACTGCCAGTGGAAGTGGTAGAGGTAAGTATAATTACAATATTTAAAAGACATTTACACAGGTACATGAATAAGAAAGGTTTGGTGGGATATGGGCCAAATGTAGGGAAATGGGACTAGTTTAGTTTGGGAAACCTGGTCAGCATGGATGAGTTGGACCAAAGAGTCTGCTTTTGTGCTGTATGACTCTATGACTTTAAGTCCGCTGGGTGCCAACTTGGTGCCAACAATGCCCTGAAGGGCTCACATCAATAACTTGGGTCATTGACTACCCAAGGTGTAACTAGAGGACAGTGTCCCTCATCCAGAACCAGATGTCAGTGAACCAGCTGGGAGCAGCTTGGAGAGGAGTTGGTGGAACTGAGCTGGGTGTTGTACATGTTGAATCTGCTTACGGTGGAATCATCTCACAATGTAGATGGTCTATGTGTACAAGGCCTTTAAGGTAGGCAGCTCACTATGCTATTATTAATAATAAAATTAAGGTGGATTGAAGTTTGGACAGAGTTTTAAGGTGGATTACTCCCTACCAGAAGTTTGCAATGGGTTTAAAGTTAAATTCTCTTGGTACAATGATATGTAATGGCTTAAAGGTGGACTGCTGTCTGTACAGTGTGTACAAGGGGTTTAAGGTGGACTACATCTGTAAAGTGCATGCAATAGGTTTAAGGTGGACTGCTGCCAGTACAGTACATAAAATGAGCTTTAAGGGCACTGTTGCCAACAATACTTACTGAGAAGGGCCCCGCCATACAGTCTCACTGACATTTTAGTGCTGGTCCCGTCTTCATCAAAGACAACTTCATATAGACGATCAGGAAAGATGAGAGCCTGAAACAGAGACACAGGCACAGTCACTGCTCACAGTCAGCGCAATGTACCCAGCCCGAGCCTGTACAAGACAGGCAGCAAAAGGGACAGGTCACAGCTACGGAGCAGGTATCCTGCCAGGAAATGGTAGCCACTAGGCACAAAGACAACCCATTGAAAATGTGGAATTTCTGCTCCCAGACAGACAGTTAACAAACAGCAGTGAGATTCCCAGGTTATCAGTGTCCAGACCAGTGTTCATGGAAAACTACAAATAGAAAGAGGGAGCAGCTGAGGAAAGGAGTTAGCAAGGGAGGGTGGAAACTCGAGAGAGGGGGAGGGAATCCAGGTTTGGCGGGGTTTGAAGTAATACACAGTGCAAGTGAGGGAGGAGGTAGTGAGGGAGGGCGGAGGTAGAGGGAGGGCGGAGGTTAGAGAGAGGGATGGAGGAAGTCGTGCGAGGGAGGGAGGAGGTAGTGAGAGGGATGGAAGGAGTAGGAGAGGGGGTGGGAGGAGGTAGAGATGGGGAGGGAGGAGGTAGTGTGAGGGTGGGAGGAGTTAGTGAGAGGGAGGGAGGAGGTAGGGAGGGAGGGAGGAGCTAGTGAGAGGGAGGGAAGAGGTAAAGAGAGAGAGGGAGGAGGTATGGAGCGGGAGGGAGGGGGTAGGAAGTGGGAGGGAGGAGGTAGAGAGAAAGGGAGGAGGTGGAGAGAGGAAGGAGGAGGTAGGGAGTTAGAAGAAGGAGGTAGGGAGAGAAGAGGTGGAGAAAGGGAGGGAAGAGATACAGAGAAGGAGGGAAGAGGTGGAGAGAGGGACGGAGGAGGTAGGGAGTGAGACTGAGGATGTAGGAAGTGGAAGGAAGGAGGTAGAGATATAGAGGGAGAAAGTGGAGAGAGGGAGCAAAGACGTGGGAAGTGAGAGTGAGGACATAGGGATTGGGGCGAAGGATGTAGAGATAGGGAGGGAGAAGGTGGAGAGAGGGAGGGAAGTGGTAGGAAGTGAGAGACAGGAGGTAGGGAGTGGGAGGGAGGAGGTCGACATAGGGAGGGAGAATGAGTTGATGAGCAAAACAACAGAGAATTGATTTGAATGTGGGTTGCTGGCTGTGTTTATGTGAAAATCAGGAACCCCAGGAATAGTGTCGGAAACTCTGGAATCAGGACCTATCTTAAAGGGCTCCTGAATCACCCCAGCATGGAGGAGATCCAGGCCACCAGGACAGATGTTAGCATAGCTTTTGGGAATCCTGGGCTTTATAAATAGAGGCACTGAGTACAATAGTAGGGAACCTTTGGTGGATCTTGGTAAAACTCGGATCACCCTACAATTGGATTAGTGGATTACACTTTGAGAAGTATGGCTGGGTCCTCAGGAAGGTGCAAAGGGTATTTACAAAAGGGTCCAGGGATAAGGGGCTTAGCTCCACAATTAGATTTGGGAAGCTATGGCTGTTCTTTCACAAAAGGAGTTTGAAGCTCCTTCAAATAGGATTATGCGAAGTCTACTTAAGGTAGACAAAGGTTGTTCCCATTAACTGTTTGCAGAGGGATTGAGGGTCACGGGTGAACGGTTTTGGGAAAAGCATGGGGCAAATTGAGGAAGGATATTTTTACGTAATGAGTGGAAAAGACCTGGAACACAGTAACCACCCTATGAAATAGGAGCAGAGTCAGAATATTCAGCCAAATATGATCATGGCTGGTCAGTCTACATTTCAAATTCCACATTCCCATCAACACCCGACAATCTTTGACACATCTCACGAACAAATAGCTATCCATCTCTGACTTAAAATCATTCAACAGTTCCAACACCACACCTTCTAAGGTACAAAGTCACACAACCCTCTAATAAAAAATGTTTCTCCTCATCTTGTCCTCAAAGGGTATCTCCTAATTTTGAAGCTAGTTCTAGACTCAGCCACAATTTCCACTTTGTCAGGAACATTCAGGATCTTATAAACTTCAATCAAATCACCCCTAACTCTTCTAAATTCCTGCGGAAACAATCTGAGCCTGTCCAACCAATGCTCAGAGGACAACCTACTCATTCCAGGGATTGAAATAAGAAACCTCCTCTGAACCACCACCTCCTCAAATAAGGAGAATAAGAACTGCACACAGTATTCAGGGATGAGCTCTCACTAATGCTCTGTATGAACAAAGGGTAGCACTGCATGAGCCCTCTTCAAATGGACAGTACCCGCAGACTGATTTTTTCGTAACTCCTGCTCTAGAACACCTAAATCCGTCAGCACCTTAGAATTCCACAGTCATTCTTCAATTAAATCATATTCAGCTTTTATATTCATTCTGTCAAAGTGCACAGCTTCACATTTTTCCACAGTATAACCCACCTGCCTGATTTTTGTTCATTTACTTAACCTGACTATTTGTCTGCAACTCCTTTATGTTTTCTTCACACCACATGTTCCCCCCTATCTTGGTGTCATCTACAATGCCTTCACTTCCCTCAAATGAAAGGCATTGATGTAAATCCTTTTATTCTTGTTAATACCTTTCTCCTATACCAGGGCCTTCCATTTTCCATAACAACCTTTGATGTGGCATCAAATGCCTTCTGAAAATCTAAGTATAGTCCATTTACAGGTTCCCCTTTATGTCTTTCTCATTCAAGGATCTCAAATAAAGTATTTAAATATGATTTCCCTTTGATGAAACAATGCTGACTCATCCTGATTATCTTGCATTCTCAAAGTGCGTGACTATAATCTCTTTAATGTTCGATTCTAATACCTTTCCCAAGACAGACATCAAGCTAACATGAATAGAGGGGTACTAAATAAAAACCAAAAGAACTGCGGATGCTGTAAATCAGGAACAAAAACAAAGTTGCTGGAAAAGCTCAGCAGGTCTGGCAGCATCTGTGAAGGAAAAAACAGAGTTAACGTTTCAGGTCCGGTGACCCTTCCTCAGAACTGAGGTTCTGAGGAACGGTCAACAGACCCGAAACGGTAACTCTGTTTTCTCCTTCACAGATGCTGCCAGACCTGCTGAGCTTTTCCAGCAACTTTGTTTTGTTCATGAATAGAGGGGTTATATTTGCTATTTTCCAGCATAATGGAACCTGTCCTGAATCTAAGGAATTGTGGAACATTGATGCCAATGCATATATTACCTCATTAACAACCTCTTTTAAGACCCTGGGATTCAATCCATTTGGACTTGGGAGACTTGTCAGCCCTGAATTTCTTTAGCACCCCTTCCCTCATGATTGTGGTTTTGCTAGGTCCCTCTCTCTGTTCCACCCCCTGTATTACTGGAATATTTTTTGTATCCTCTGTAGGGCAGACAGAAACAAATTATTTGTTCATTTCATCCGCGATTTCCTTATTGTCTACTAGTAAGTCCCCATTCTCACTCTCTAGTAGACAAACACTCATTTCAATGACTTTTTTCCTTTTCAAATACCCATAGAAACACTTGTTATCCATTTTTACATTTCTAGCCAGCTTGCTCTTGAAGTCTAATTTCTCCATCCTTTTAAACTTCCTGTGCTGCTGCTTATATCTGATCAATTATCTGACTTGCGACTCATCATTGCACAATTATATCATTTTTCACCAAGTTTGATGCTTTCCATAACTTCTTCAGTTAATCATGGATGGTGGGTCCTCCCTTTAGAATTTTCTTTATCATAGGTGTATACTTATTCCGACTAATTTGCAATATCCTGTTAAATATCTTGCCTGATCCAGTCTCCCAGCCGTTATGCCAGTCCACTTCAGCTAGCTCAGCTTTCATACTTAAATAGTTGCCTTTATTTAGGTTTAAAACATCTGTCCTAGCCCCTTTCAAACATGACATAAAATTCAGTCACACTGTGGTTTCTGCTATCTTAACTCTGAAATCATTAATCAATCCTGTCCCATTACTCAATACCAAGTTTAACATAACATGTTCTCTGGTTGGTTCCAAAATGTGCGAAAGCATTCTATGAACTCCTCATTTGATTACTGCTGCTGCTCCGATTTTTCCATGGTTATTGTCATCCCTTTATCACAAGCATCCAATACTTCTTCTTGGATACTTTCTCCCACACTTTGTGATTACTGTTAAGGAGTTTTCAGACTACTTATACTGGTGACTTCTTTCCCCTACTATTCCTCATCTTCACCCATCTGGATTTCCTGAAACAAGATCATCTCTAATTATCGTACCAATGCCATCCTTGATTAACAGTGCAAGCTCACCACCTGTACCAAACTTCATAGTCAGGTTGAATGTTGCATAACCTTCAATATTCAGCACCTAATTCCTGTCATTCTGGAGCCATGTCTCTGTAATGGCTATCAGACTGTCTTTATTTGCTTCAAGGCATACAATCAATTTTTTTACTTTATTTTGAATGCTGTATACGTTCAGATACAGAGCCTTTAGTTTTGACTTTTTGCTAACCTCTTAACAGTTTGTTGTGATTGTTGTTATATTCCTAGGCTTTTTTTTTCTCTCTACCTGCTTTATTCCATTCTTTGAAACCTCCTTTTCCATATTACTATTTTTCTCTCTTACCTTGGCTCTAATGTCTGATACACCACAAATTGCCGCATTTGATCCCTTCCCTCCATTGTTTCATTTAAAACCATCTCTATTTCCCTAGTTATGTGGTTCACAAAAATGGCCTAATGAAACATAAATCATAAGGTATCACAGCATGGTTCAGGCAATAGACTGTCCCAAAGGTACATCACACACTTTCTCCTGTTCTGGTACCGATGGCCCATGAACCAGAACCCACTTTTCACACGTACAAGTTTTAAAGCATGTTTTCATCTCTAATTTTATGTACTCTCTGTGTGTGGTTCAGTCAATACCACAGAAATTATAACCTTTGAGGTTCTGCTTTTAAATGTAGTGCCTATTTTCTGTGCAGAACCTGTTTCCTAGTTCTACCTATCTCACAGGTACCCACATGCACGACAGACGCTGGATTCTTCCCCTCCCATTGCAAGTCGTGCCCTGAGAATGGTGTCAATCTCCCTCATGATACTACTCCCTATTTGTCCCATATTCCTTGTTACTTCCCTTACTTCAGTGGCTTCCTGTACCACAGTGATATGGTCAGTTTGCACATCCATCCTGCAGTCCCTACTCTCATCGACACTGAACATCAGACCACCGCACTGGAAGCAGAAATGATCATGGATTTGAAAGAAATTGGTTGGGCACTTGAGCAAGACAAAGGTGCAGTTTGAAAGAATACAGCGAGGTGATTGGACAGACGGAATTTCACAAATGGTCTCCTTCTGTGCTCAATGGCTACGGGAGTCTTGTTATACATTTACTCCCAACTTTCAACCCACATCAATCAGCTGGATGTGCAAATTGACACAATTCAATGTTCTCTCCCTCCCTTTTCTCCGGAGTCCTGGCAGAGTCTATATCCAAATTCTCGAATATTTTGGTGTTTCTGAGTGAGAAATGTAACATCTGAGCTTTCTGATCCAAGGCAAACAACTCATAAACTGACTCAGTCACTGATATTGCCTGTGCTCTCAAATCTAATCAAAATCTCTTCTGCAACAGTTGGTATTCCTTATTAGTATCCCCTACTCTGCTGGATGTATCTATCTTGTAAATTATTAGCTGGTGATTCATTAAGCAATTAATGTACTGAGTTAAATCAAGCAGCAGCCGTGCTCCCCTCCTGCCTGACAACAATCCCGATGGAGACAATGGGGTCTCCGCCACTGTTTTTTCCACCATAGCCGTGTCAATGTGAATGAAGACTGAGAGTGTGGGATCCTCCAACAAACCACAGGTTCCAAACTGATCACCTCTTCACCCACTCATACTGTATCATTGCTTCCTGCAGTGAGTAATTTTAAACAAGTGTAAACTCACCATTATGGCAACAACACTGAACATGATAGCTGACACCACTTGCCATATCCTATAGAGAATCAAACACAGTGATTAGTGCACTCAGAGTGACATGTTCAAACACAGTCTCACACACTGTGAAAAACACGTAGGGACATATGTACCGGAATGATGTAAGCAGTGACACACAAACATATTGCAGTGAAATACAGTCACACACAGTCAGGTACGGGCTGTAACATGGAATCATATACATGCTTAACACACAGGTGTAATACACACACATACCCACAGCCCGCCCCCCCGCCTCCCCCCCCACCCCACACACACACACACACACAGACACTCTTACAGACAAACACACCCCTTCCGTCTGTACAATATACCCTGGGCCCAGGCCTGACTCACACAGCAGTGGATTCTCTTCTCCCTCCACCTCATTCTCTTCCTCCCACCCACAACCCCCCATTCTTCCTCTTCCCACCTCTTCCTCACACATCCCCTGCCTGCTTCCTTCCCCTCCCCACGGCCTCCCTATTTCCTTCTCTTTCTCTTCCCCTCCGCCTTCTCTCTATTCCCCTTCCTTTGCTTCCTCCCCTCCTCATCTTCCTTACTCCCATCCCTCTCCCCTCTCCCTCCTCCTTCCCTCCACCTCCTTCCTCACGGCCAGGGTAACTGATGATACTGGGTAAATTTGATGAGTAATTAACCCGGGTCCAGCAGAGTCGAGAGATCGATAATACTTGTAAGATCAGTGACCAACCCAGTCCATTGTCCCAGAGAGTGGGACCACTGCTCTATAGCAATATCACCATGGCAGCACTTATTAACTGATCACATGTTATTTTAATGCTAGACGTTGTACCTGAGACCCAAAGGCTCTCGCATGGTGAATTTCATTTCATTTCCCAGCACTTGGCTAATCTGAAAAAAAAAGATGAGGTTGAAGCAGTGCAGGACCATCCAAAGGATGAAAGTTAAATCTGTACAACTCCATTAGTCATCCTACTTTCTTTTGAATCTCTTTTGCCAGCCAAAAGGATAGCTTCATGTCTGTGCCAGACACTATCTTTTAAACTTATTACCTGTATTTGTGTGCACGTGCTTGATATCCAATTTTCATTATGTTTTTCTCAGGTTAGTAGTAATAAAATTCTCTTCTTTTCACTCAAAATCGGATTTTCATTTTATAATGATCTACAAGTATGATAGCTCTCAGGCCTTTATTGGCACTGGGCTTGTCCCGAATAGGTACTGTTGTAGAAGTTGAGAGGTCTGAAGGGGTTAATGATCATGTCCCATTGTTTGTATCCACCTATTATGTACTGGTGTCTCACACAGCCTGTGGGCGGAGACTAGGAGTTCTACTCATAGAGTCATTGAATCAAGAGATGTACGGCACAGAAACAAACCCTTCAGTCCAACTCGGCCATGCTAACCAGATATTCTAAATTAATCTAGTCCCATTTTCCATCTCTAGAGGGATCAGATGGACTGATACCAGCTCCCTAAGGTCCAGGTAAATACAGTCATGACCAGGTGGCAAGGCAGAATCAACTCACCACCTTTTAACTCTCCTCATTTAGTTACAAAAATTGTTTCCCATTTCTTTCAGATATGCAGCTATTTAATTAAAATGTAGTTCACTAGAAAATGAAGGATCCAATTACTAAACTTTCCTTGGGTGAAAGTAGGAGGAATTTTATTACCAACTAATCTGTGGAATAAAATAATGAAAATCCAACATCAAGCACACACACAAACACAGGTAATAAGTTTAAAAGATAGAGTGTCTGGTACAGACAGGGAGAATAAACATCAAGCAGTTAAACAGTCCTTGGAGATCTTGAGGTAACAGATTCTATAGTTAAATGATTGGCTCATATCCTCAGCTGTAGCCGAATCTGTCAACATCTTTGGGTTCTTCGTGAATGTTGTTCCACCAATTTACTTTTATGCTAGGCATTGCATTCTGTCATGATGAAAGAAACTGGCAGAGAGGGAGAGGGTTACAACTCTTATTGTCACAGGTTTTTTATTTCTCCTCCTTCTTTCTGCTCTGCTGCTTAAAAACAATTATTGAAACATGGTTCAACGTATATTCCTGAGTCTCGCTCTATTACCTTCCCAAGGTGGCTAATTAGGAGGTGAGACCTCTCTTTCCCAATATGTGAAATCATCATTCGAGTGTAAATTAAGAAGAAGAAGCAAATTTATTTTAAGAACTAAAAAGGAAAGAAATGATAGTTAATGTTTCATGTCCAATGACCCTTCTTCAGAATCCTCAAACAACCCTCACCCAGTCCCATTCACTGGGAGAGGAAGTACATATTACAAGGTGCCACCAATAGTCGACTTGGAAAATACCACAGATACCAAGTCTCTGTGGGCACTGGGCTGGTTCTTATTGAGTATCAGAACATTGTGGGCATTGTCTGAAGGTGATTTCTACAGTGGTGTAGGTGTGTTCCTTGGCATTTCTGATTTCACATGCACACACACACACACACAAACACAGACACACATGCACACGCACACACAATGACACCAAACTTTCCCCACCCAAAACTCTGCATTCACCCCCTGTCAAACACTGTGCGTGTGTGTGTGTGTGTGTGTGTGTGTGTGTGTGTGTGTGTGTG